CATGATGCTGGCGCTCGCGGTGCCGCTGAGCCTGGGCCGAGCGGGCTGCTCGCTCCTGGCGAGCCTCGTCGGCGCCGACATCCTCCGGGAGCCGCACGACTTCTACGCCTTCTGCCTCGGCTCGGCCGCCGTCGTCGCACCCATTTGGCTGGCGAGAGGAATGTGCCGGCTGTACCGGCGTGCCAAGCTCCGCGCCGCGGCGGCCGACTCGCAGCCCAAGGCGTCGAGGCCGCTCGCGTTTGTCGCCGTCAGCCTGGCAAGGAGGACGGCGAGGCTGGGTCGCGTGGCCGTGCTAGGGCTCGGGCTGGGCGTCGTTGTGCCCCTGATGGTGGGCATGACGATCAACCAATGTGAGTGCAGCCCGGGGTATCGACGATGGAGGTTGAGGTGCTGGAGGCACGAGCCGCTGACACTCCGCCGCCGCTTCATTGCCTCTCATCCGTGACGTGCAGATCTCATTGTGCCGCTACGCTTTGCGCGGGATGCGGTGCCCGAGGTCGATGTGTGGCAGACGTGGGCGCTCGGCCTGGTCGAGTGCAAGCTGGCGCTCAAGGCGCTCGAGTCGCGGCCCGCGCCCGCCTGGCGGCCGCTAAAGAGGGTCGTCGACGGCTACAACTCGGTCCGAGCCGGCGGACTGCGCCGCCCCGCCATTGTGCGCGCCTACCGCGACGTCGTGCTGCCCATCGCGGGCGGCTGCCAGATGCTGCTGCTGCTGCCGGTCCTTGTGGCGGACGTGGCGTTGCGCTTGTTGGCGTACGCAGGGCAGCAGCGCAGGGGTGCGGGTGCCGCGCCCGTCGAACGCACTGCGGCAGAGGAGCAGGCGGCGCTGCGCATCGTCTACGGCGTCGTGTTGTGCCTGTTTGCGGCGATCCAGGCGCGCAACGCCGTCCGGCGGCGGATGGCGGCGTGGACCGACGTGCTCAAGGACGAGGAGTTTCTCGAGTCGACCGAGCTCAAAAATTACCAGCCGCCCGCGTTTACCGCGCGCCAGGCGCGCGCCTGGGACCGGGACAGCGTGGCCAGGGCGTCGGATTCGCCGTCACCTTCGTCGTCGCCATCGTCGTCGGCGCCACCATCGCCGCAGCTCGACGCAGCCGACGCGGACGCCTCCGCCTCGGCACCGGGCGGCAGCCAGTATGAGGCCGAGGGCCCGCTGCCGGACGTGCTGCTCCGTTGAGCCACCAGCCAGCGAGCAGCCTGCCAGCTAGCTACAGTCGGCAGCGTTAGTGGACCCTAACGGTCGGCTACGTAGCGGACGGTGGCCCGGCAAGCCGCCGGCGACTGCCCGATGAAATATCAATCACATGTATAGCTCCAGTCTCGTCGTCGTCGTCGCGGCAGGCCACAGCAGAGGCCAGGCCAGGCCAGGCGAGGGAGAGAGCGCGACGAGGCGGCCCTCGTTTTCCGTTTGACGGCGTGCGTCACACCCGTCGGTGCCCGGTCACTGGGGCATGATGATGGGAGCGAAAGAGGGTGTGTGGTTTTCCCGCCACCGCCACGGCAGTCCGCACGAGGAGGCAGGCAGGGTGAAGGCGAGAGAGAGGCGGCGAGGCGAGGCGAGGCGAGGCGAGGCGTGGCGTGGCGTGGCGTGCTGCTGTCGATGACGTTTTTGGGCGGTGCTCCACGTTTACGGGTCCAGCCCAGGCCAGGCCAGGCCAGGCCAGGCCCTTGGGAAGCCCCCTGCAAAGGCAGAGGAGGAGGAGGAGAAGGGCGTGAAGCAAGAGGCAGCGGCTGAGGGGCAAGGGAAAAATAGAAACAGGCAGGCAGGCGTCCAGCCAGGGCCAGGGCCAGGGCCAGGCGCGCGCGTGTGTGTGTGTGTGTGTGTGTGGCCTGGGCGCAATCCAAAGGGGCGAGGCGAGCGCGGGGGTCCAGGCCAGCCAGCTGCGACTCTTCTCTGGGGCCGGGCTGCCAGCTGACTCTGGATTTTCTTCCTCGTCGCCCGCCTTCGCTCTTGGTCTCGCCCGCCGTCTGCCCTGCTTGCTTGCCCGCCACCACCAACAACGACGACGACGACGACGACGACTGACCAACACCCACGTCCACCCGCACCACAGCCTCGCAAGCCAAGTGTGTACCACTGTAGATGCCCGGTACGATACCGTCCATCACGGATCCCTTTCTCGTCGACCACTCGCAACCCACCTCGTCCTCGAGCATCACCGACGCCCGCCGTGCCTCGCAGCAGCAGCAGCAGCAGCAGCAGCAGCAGCAGCAGCGATCCTCCTCGTCTTCCTCCAACCCTCTCGGCCTCCTCGACGACAACGACGACGACGACTATACCGCACTGGACCCAGCCTCGGTATCGCAGGATCCACAGGCGCCCTCGATCGTCACGCCCGTGCCCCTCGAACACCCCACCAGCGGCGTAGCGTCAAAGGGAGCCAGCCAGCTCGTCGCCACTACCTCGCTCTCGTCCGCACTCGCCCCCTCCAACCTCCAGGCCAACATGAACAAGCAGCTCGGCAACTCGCAGATCCGCCAGAGGAAAAAGGCCGACGACCAGCAGGCCAGGCACGACAATGAGCTCGTCAAGTTTGTCGAGACCGACGGCCACTTTTCCCTCGTCCGGTGCGTTGTTGCCCCTATTGCCCTCGCAAGCCTGCCACCTCCATAGCGCTGACCTGGGTGCCCCTCCTCATTTGCCTTTCACTTGATCTCCGCCCTGACGCCGCACAGCAACTTCCACCTGGCCGACGCCTTCACCCTGATGAATGGCTTCTGCGGCGCCCAGTCGCTCTTCGCCTCGGGCCGCTACCTGCTCACCTCGGACCCCAAGCACGCCTGGCTCGCGCTGTGGTTCCCCGTATTTGGCGCCATCTTTGACCTGCTCGACGGCAAGGTGGCCCGGTGGAGGAAGAGCAGCAGCATGCTCGGCCAGGAGCTCGACAGCCTCGCCGACTCGGTGAGTGCCCCCCCCCTCTTCCACGCTACACCTGCTGGCACGCCCCCGACCCGCTCGACTGACCCTGGTGCCCTTCCTCGTCTTCTGCCCCCCCCTGTGCGCCGTTGCCGCCGCCGCTGCCGCCACCGCAGCTCTCGTTTGGCGCCGCGCCCGCCTTTGCCGCCTACACGCTGGGCCTGCGGACGCCGTTCGACTCGCTGCTGCTGACCCTCTTCGTGTGCGCCGGCGTGGCGAGGCTGGCGCGCCTTCAACGTCACGGCCGCCTCGATCCCGCACGACTCGACGGGCAAGGCGCGCTACTTTGAGGGCCTGCCCATCCCCTCTTCGCTCGTCCTCGTCGGCGGCATGGCCCTCTGCCTCCTCACCGGCCGCGTCGAGGCCGGCGGCCTGCCCATCCCCCTCGCCCGCGAGCGCGGATACATCTCCGACAAGGGCCTCACCTTCACCGGCAGCCTCAAGGACTACCTCCCCGAGGCCCTCGCCCGCGGCCGCGGCGTCCCGCTCGGCATCTGGACGGTCGACGTGTCGTCCCACCTCGAGGCCGCCTTGGGCCTCCTCCCGCTCTCGACGGCCACGGCCCGCGAGTGGGCCCAGATGGGCGTCGTCGAGGGCCACTGGATCACGCTCCTCTGGGCCGCCTGGGCCATGGCCATGGTCAGCAAAACCCTGCGCGTCCCCAAGCCCTAGGCGGGCGGTCGTCGACCGGGCGGCAGCCGGCAGCGGCCGCACCCCTCAGCAAGAGCAGAGGCGGGCGGGTGGTGCGAGAGTCGATCGTACCTGATGGCGCATCGCCCCGCTGCTTTGGCTGCCGGTTCTCTGGCTCTCTGCTCCGCCCTTTCCCTCCCCTGCCTGCCAGGCTCCACATACCTCCCCCTCTCACCTCGAATACCTCACCCATCTCCCACGACCCGTGACGAAAAAGAAGAAATAGGGCCGACGAATGCGCTCCCGTTGATGAAAGCAAATGCAAATGGAAAGCGCTGCGGGGCTGAGGGCCGACCGTGGTCTTGTCCGGTGGAGCGTCGGCGTCGGCGTCGGCGTCGGCGTCTTGCTCTTCATCCTGGCCGGTGGTAGAAGCGGGCCCTGACCGTCTGGCCGGCAAAGAAGCGGCCGTCGAGGGCGCGCACGGCCCTCCACGCTCCCGCCTCGCCCGTGTACTCGACGAGGATGCCCACGCCCCTCTGCCTCTCCTGCGCCGAGGACGTAGAAGAGGGCAGGAGCGGAGAGAGCGAGGAAATGTAGCCGTGCTTGCTACATTCCTCGCCTGACCGCAGCGATGGAAAGGAGAAGGACGAGGGCGGGGCCGAGCGTCAGCGTCTGCCCTTGCGTTCCACGAGTCGCGTGCCAGGCCGGGCAAAGGCAGGCCGCAGCACTCACGGATCTCACCGAGCACCTCTTCCCTCTCGCGCTCGTCTTCGAGCTCCTCGGGCTTGACCAGATTGTAGAGCACGACGGCGTTGGACACGTCTCCGAATCGCTCGCGCTCCTCGCGCCGCTTGGCCTCCTCCCTCTCGTTCTGGATGGTGCCCCGACCTTTGCCCGACGACGTCGAAAGCAGCGGCGTGAGGATGCCCTTGTTCCCCTCGGCGCCCTGTCGGTCGACCGAGCGAGGACAGAAAGAAACGTCAGCTCAGCATCTGGCCTCGCTGGATCCGCGCGCCCAGCCTGCGCGCCACGCGAACGGTACAGCGCGGCGGTACGTACGATGCCTTGGCCCTCTTGGTACCCGTACTTGTTCATCAATCGAGCCGCAAAATCGTGCGGGTTCTGAGGGGCCGGTGGCCCCGTCGTCGCCGTCGCCTCATCAGCGGGTGCCGGTGGGGGCGGACGGGGCGGAGGTGGGCCTGGTGGGAGCGCCTTGGCCAGACGAGCAGCGATGGCGGCCGCAGCAGATTGACGCGCCTCCAGATCCATGGCCCCGGTCGCGTCCAATGAGGGTGGCGGCGGGAGTCCCGCATTTGAGGGT